ATTTATTTATTTATTATTCTTATTATTATCATTATTATTATCTATTCATTTTTATGACGAAAATTTCATTTTTTTTTACTAAATTTTTCACTAATATGAAAGTGATTGAAAGTAAAAGGGAATATAAATTATGTCATGTATAAATAAATTGAATAGGAATGGAAGAGTTAACAATCATCTTGATACATTGTGCAGACAGCTGAAAGTGAGAGGAACAGTAAACTTGTTATATGAAGAGCCGGAAATATAGGAGGTTTAATTTATTACGTGAAGAACTGAAGGTAAGAATGATATAATAAAATCAATCTTCAAAAACCGGATGATCGTATCAACTAGTCAGACACTAAAGTATATGACGTTATCATTCTTGTATGTGCCCTGATAATTCTTGTTTCAAGTAGCATCTATACTTCGCATCTATGGCTTGCAAGATTCAAGCGCTAACCGAAGAACCAAAAACTTAGCAATATACAATATATATTTATATATATATATACAATATATATTTATATATATATATATATTTACGAAGTTTCCAATAAACATTTAAACAACGATGAAAGCCACCTTCGCCTATAACGATTACGAGTTCATACGCGTGAATCGTGACTCTTTAAAACAGGAAAGAATAAAAAATTGTTTCTATTAACACTTAGGAATTCGCTATTGGATTTATTTTGTTTAATCCTCATAGTTCCGAGATGAGAGTCCTACAATCTATCGATATTACGACACTACTTTCACACAAATATGCTAATTATATATTCATACTTTCATTCTTATCATGCTTTTTAATCACTCTGCGACGCTAACATTAACAGTCTTAACGTATAGTTTAAAATGTCTATAACTAATAACCAACACGTTTTCATGGAAATAATATTCTCTCACAAACTAGACACCGATTGCTTACAGTTTTTTTTGGAGCTATGAGAATTAATCTTTTATATCAATTCATTTTATATTAATTATCGCTAATCTAAATGCAGCTTCAAGCGCGTGCTATTTTCCATTCATTACATATTTTTATTGCTTTGGTCATTTGCTTATTCTAGAAATATTCTCTTTATACTTGCATGATTATGTATTTAACATTAAATCCATAATTTTCATATTTAACACACATTTAAATAAATTTGTTACAAATCGACATTGCCCTTGTATTTCCTCAAGGGAATCGATATATATATGGTAATTTATATGGTAATTCTTTGGTGTTTTAATTAGTAATTACTAACTATAACTAAACGAACGTGGTGTCATTAGTTTAAAAAAAAAAAAAAAAAAGATCACCGCTCAGAATTATTTAGTCGCGATTCACGCGATATGAAACGCTCCGGAAACAACGAATAATTTAACGCGCCGTTATATTTCTACCTACTACTTAGAACTCTCGAGTTCTATCGTAATTACATTCGTAAGTGCTCCTAACGATTTATCGGGATATTTCCCAATATAATATCGTCGCTACATTGGCTTTCGCCTGATATGCGTATGATATTCTTGGCCGCAAAAGTGCGATCACAATTGGCTTCGCGATATGTATAAGTAAAGTATATCTCTAGTCGTATTTCCTGGCTTTTAAAACTATAGTAGTAATAATAGCGGTATTTGTGTGCTTCATTCTTAGAATATAATATAGAACACCTGGCACACGCGTGTCGTACACGTATACAGGGTGCAATTGAAGAGGATGAGAATGAGTCACCGGGCGCGAGTCGCGTGATGAAACAATGAGTTCTGCAATTAATAAATCCAACTTTCCTTTTCATGCGATTCCGAAAGAACGTTTGTAAACGTTTTGACTATACCCTGCATACGCATGAAGACACGTATGTATATCTTCGCACTCGGTAGCGGAAGACAAAGCGCTTTTTCTCCTCTCGACGATGCTCCTGTGTTGTAGAAATGCCCGTCGTGAAACGACGTTTCGCATTTTTACAACAATTCGAAATTCGTCGAGAAAAACACCTTGGTGCTTCCTATCATCGAGTATCTTCTCCGAATGCACGCCAATTATGTCAATATACACGTATATCTTCCTCTTCATTTCTTTCTCTAACAATAACGAAGAGGCATCGTGCTCTCTCTCATACTTTTTGCCGGGCGATCAAGATTAACCCCTGTAAAATTTCCCAATTAACTTCCGTAACATTCAAACGTGCAATTCGTTTCCGTGCGACGTAACAACCGAACCAACTCGATAACGATAACGTAGATAAATTTCGAAGAAACAGAACGAAGCTTCAACAAGGAAGAACTAGAAATGACGCCGAATTTGTTTAAAAGCAGAATTTGATTCTCGATTCTATAATTTTGAAGTTAATAAAATTAATAGAGCAATGCTAAAACGTATATTACTTCATAAAACCGATATTATTTCATAAAACAGAAATAACAACATGAATAAATCGTTATATTAATATTAATAATATTTTTGTTAGGAACAAGAGATAAAAGTATTGTAGAAAAGATGAGAAAAATTCGACATGTCGCAGTAAGATAGTTTTTCTTATTATTAACTGTGTAAGAAATAAATTGTAATGACAAACAATAGATATGATGATAGATTGAAAAGATTTTAAACTTATATATGTTAATAATTCTTTCTTTTATGCAAAGCTGATAATAAAAAATCTTGTCTAGAATCTTTTCCACGAGTATCCATTTTTCTCATCTCTAGCAAAACTTAACTAGATCTTAATATCTTAACATCTTAATATAACTATGGGAACAATTGAGAAGCTAGTAAAATCGTTGACATCTAAGAAGTTTATCTCATAGCCGCGACGAGAGACGATTCCTCTCGCTCAATCGTCTTACGATCATAAGCACACGATGCTGTCAATAATGATGGCAAACCACACCTCAAAAGGATAAGAGACATTAAGGCGATAGGTCACCTAAATTGTTTAAATCGCAAACATCGAAGAAATGTGGATTTGCCTCTGTTTCAACGTTTTAAGTAATATTCTTGATAAAGAAAATGGGATTATCGTGGGAAAATCGGTGCGAGAAAACGTTATGTTATGTATATACCTGATATCTGATATGTATCTGATATGCAGAGTTGAAAAAATTACTTTTGAAAAGTAATTCGTTATTTGTTATTCATTGAAAAATGCAACTCGTTGGCATTGTTATTTAAAAGTAGTATTGAGCTATAAGTTTTCTTTACTTCAAATTTTAGATGGAAATTTTAGATTTCCTTCTTTAGGAAATGTACTTGTGTCTATTCCATATGTATATATATATATATATGGAATGTGTAACAATTGCAAAGTAACGATAAAATTTACCATTATTTAAAAAACATATAATCGTCATTAATAAAGGAATATAAAATTATTACAAATTCGTTATTGAAAAAAATAATTATAACAAGTTACAAGTATTATGTTACTTTCCAACTCTTTTGATACGTGTAGATAAATACGCGATGGATTGCAGAGGCATTATCTCTGGGAAGAAATGAGGATGTCTCGTTTCTACCGTGTTATTTCTTTTTATGCAAATTTTCCAAGCGATTTAAGATTTTAATTTCTTTAGCGGAAATATTTTATTACTTTATCGCAATCTGTAAAGTTTTAGCATAAATTATCTTGATTATGTCTCAACTTAAAGACTTTTTAAAATAAAGTTCATTTAAAATTGGCTAATAATTTTTCTTCTCTAAAACTTTGCCGAAAGCATCTTTTATCTTTTTAATTACCGATCATTCTACATAATTTAATGTAGAAAAGTTTATTTTAAACGAGCTAATAATTTCGACATTAATGCGGTAGAAAATAGAGGAATGAGACATCTCATATTCTTAAGGTACAATATTTTCATTCGGCTCTCTGTGCCACGTTCCCATTTTAAAAATTAAATAATAATACAACACGAACACGGCCTAGCATGAGCATAACAATGCGTGAGAATCGCGTCGAGCGATAAATTTATCTAAATCATGTAGAATTAGAAAAATTTGTCTCCCCTATTCGTAAGATCAGTGCGTACCAAGATTTGAGACCGATATCATTTCGATGAGATCACTTTCACATTGGGGCATTGAAATCTGATCTCAGCAGAATTATACGTAAAGCACGCAACTATCATTACCTTAATTATATACAGATTATCGCAAAATTACTGCACTTTCTTTCTTTCGAATCTCCAGCCGAATTGATTTTTTTCTCTAACTGAAAAGTCATGTCAAGAGTATTGTCATGTTTTTATATTTCTTGATCGAAGATTAATCCTTATTCCTTAGCCAAGCTAAACTGCTAAGGAAACAGATAACAAATTTGTATTAATTTTTAAAATAATATTTGATAAAGTTAATTAAACTTGAGCTATAAATTTTTACATCTCAGAATTATAATATCAATTCTTGGAAAAGTGCGAGGCAATTTTCTTCAACATTTCCGTTGAAAAATTGTTTTCTGGATCGATTGCGAGAGGATTGCGATCGAAAGAACATTCAGCGATTCCTCGAGAGAAACTGCATAAATCTTCAGTTACATATCAATTACACACATATAGTTATGATTACATTAATTACACGTGCAACTGCGTCGACTCGATCGTATGTATAGTTATAGCTTCATCGGTCGCAAACCCTGGCACGATACGGGATGGTCAGCTACGGTAGATCGTAGGGAGTAGAAGAATAGCGCGAAGAATAGACAGATAAAGCTATACCGTCGACGATCGATCGGCTCTTGACTAGAGTCGTCGAGCGATGCGATCCGCCGACTTACCTAAGAATTGGACAAGAGTTTACTGTGCGGGCGCCAACATACGTACGATTTGGCCACATTTGGAGTGTTCCTGCGGTGGAGTCCCCGTGCGCTGGAAAACTGGCAACAACAACGACACCGAATAACGATCATCCGCGAAAAGCTGAAATTGAACCCCCCGAGAAGAAGAGCGGGGCTCGATAGTTTTTTACGAAGAAAGCGAGCGATGATCAACGGGGAAAGAACGCGAACGAACAAACGATGAGGAAGATTGGATCTCTCTTCTGATATCTCTTCTTGTAGGAAATTCGAGACGCAAGACACAGGCAGAATTTCTCGCGCTTGATTGTGTCGCGAGGAGAAGAATTCTTGCTCTTTTAAGTTTTTTTTTTAAACGCAAGTCGAGTTTTTATCATTTCGCGATTTCAGCGATTTCAGCGATCTTTCCAGCGCCCGGGCGTAACGCTCGAAGAAACCTTATTCTTCCCTCTTCTGGAGCGGACTGGAGTTTTAATACGACCGATCGATCTATAACATACGACGCCTACTATACGATGGCTAGCGCTTAAAAGGATTTTTAAATCGCTACCGCTGCGAGCGAGATTATGTAGTAAACGCGCATTTTGTACGTACTCTTCTAGAAAACAGACAACGAGAAATACGCTTCTAATAGCCCGTACGACGAAGGACATTTTAAGAATTACACGACACCTTCCGATATGCTCGCGTGCTTC